ACCCAAAAGAGAACAGAACTGTAAAGGAAAGATAATGTAGGCAGAAAGTTTTACATTGAACAAAAGAGTATTTCAGTGATATATCCCATGCAAGTACCTCCGAGAAGCAGCAGAAACACTGAAAACTCGAAGTACTTTTATGGAGGTTGCATAGTGCTCCATTCAGCTGAAATGGAACTATTGCCTTCCCTACCATAAAAGCCAAAGGCTTTCAATCTGCCCTTTATACTTGGATGAATAATTCATTGCAGGCTTGGCCAGCCCAAACAGCTCCCTCCCCTCCATGAAAGGCAGGGCTGGAGAGTAACACAAGTTGGTCTCTGTACCACTACACAGAGATCATTACTCTGTGCATTGGAGCGTGCCATTGTACCAGACTTGTTCAGATAGGCCCCATGACAAGAGAAGCAAGGCAGAGGAAACCTCCTGTAAAGCATGATACCTTGAATTTAGCCAGCACTACAAAAACAGCACAGCGCGGCTCACCATCAGGAACACTGCTCGAGACCTAGATGCCTGCCCTGCAGCTGGATTAACTTAGTGCCTTGAAATAAATGGGAAGAAGCATGTGGTGGTGGTGGGAGAAGGTATAAATGGATACCACTATTTCTTGGGATTTGTTTCCAAACTACAGAACACGGGATGCTAGAAGAAACTCATGTTTTTGTAATGGTAAAAACCCCAAAAAAAACAAAACCACAGAAAACACCACATGGCTCACCGGTCAGGAAAAGGAATTGAGACTCGTATAAAGTAATTTTTTCCATGGAAGTTTAAAAAGGAAACAAGACAATGCAAAAGGGAGAAATCAGAATTCAGCAAAGATATTCTACAAGATATAACAACTATAGGATGTTCAATCATAGTACTGCATAACCAATTCAGCTTTATGAGCCACATCAATCATTTTTAAACTATTAATAAAGAGTTTGCATTTAGAAGCCATTAATTACATTTTTAATGGTGATTTACCACATGAGCAAACTCAAATAATGCTTACAGCAGAAGAGCTACTGACAAAACAGTGAAGAGGGTGCAAGATAAGGAGCATGTCACACTTTCAGTGCATTTTAAATAACAGTGCTTCTTACTAGCAAAACCACTTCAGATTAGAGGAGGATCTATTTCATAAACTACAGATTTGGAAGAGGACACATCACTTCCAGTCCTCAGATTTTCTCCTAAGGATAGTTATCAGCTTTAGAATGAAACACTTATGTATTCTTTTTCCGAGATTAAGTTACCATTTTAACAAACTAACCCTTTCCCTCAGCCTAAACCAAACTTTGCACTCTCCATAACCTCATGCAACTTCATCCTTCATTTCCAACACTTGCATACAAAAACCAAAGAGGGCAGTGATGTATCACTCAATCTTTTGATTTATTTTTGGTTTATTAGTAATATTTTGCTTAGACAATGTTATTTGTCTAGGACAGACAGTGTGTAATTCCATTAGATCCGGCATCTAACTCCCTGGTCCTTGGAAGGATCAAGGCTTTCAACACTATCTAGAAAATCCAGCTGTCAACACTGTGAGCTCTCCGACACTTGCTGAGCTTAGTTTATGCAAGTCACTTCTGCCAGCTCTGAAGCAGGACTACCTATATTTAACTCCTTCAGCCCCTTTGGAGAGCCACAATTCTGGAACGTACTCCCAATCAGGTACTTGGTGTGCACTAAGGTGCCATCTGCAGTAACGAAGAGCAAGCACATCCCAGCCAACGGACCTACGAATTCCTCCTGCAAGTATGAATCACTGCTAAATTCCAAGGCACGTACACAGAAGCTTCTGCAAACCTCAGCCAGCTGTGTGTGGTTGAGAGAGTGGTCCAAGACAGACATTGTTACATCTCATTCTCCAGGTCACAGCAATCTTCATTCTAAGAGCATGCATACACAGCATAAAGCCACTTTCAGATTGTATGAGACTACCGTTTGTGTTGGTGGTCACTTTGCTCCAGACTCCATAATTTTGTGATTCAGTGAGTTACTGTGCAGCCTTACACTGGCAGCAGGGCAAGATGATCAGCTTCCATCAAGCTGTTTGTAAAGTAGACAGTGAGCTTAGTAAGCAGAACAGCTTTTGCCTTAAGCAGTTAACTGTCATGCATAAACCGGACATGATGAAATCTTCTAATAGGCTAAAAAACATCGAGCAAGTTACTTTTTTTTTTGTAGGGCACTCATATTTATAACTTGCTTAGATGTCTATCTAGTAATTTCCACAGCCGCTTTACTACAGCCTTGTAAGGACACACTTCTCTGAGTGTCAGCCAAGCAGGGATCTTCACGAGACACCTGGGAAGGCATAGCTTCGCTGAAGTGGCTTCAAGAAGAAAACCACCCCTGCAGCCCCTACCCAGGCCTTACTGGTTAAGCAAGGAAACGCTGCCCATAAATGCTGCCATTTGCTAGCTGCTTTCAGTTCGCACATTTCCAGGCCCAGCAATGAGGACAGAATGTTTTCACCTTCCCAATCCCCTCCAATGGCTTACTTTCAATGCTAGGTGAGGTGCATTCCTGTACTCATACCTCTTCCTCTACCTTTAGCAGGTAACACAAAAACCCAAAGCATTGCTTTGAACAAAACACCAAACCAGCTAAGTACAAAAGCTTTCCTGTCTACCTATGGCTTGGGAAGTCAAATGAGAAAATATCATTTAAGACATCAGATACCTAACAAGCCTCCTGCTATCAATAATCACAAAACCAAAATATTCACCATTGTAAGAACAAAGAGGCAGTAGTACTGTTTCCAACTCCTTCTATAGGATGCCTTTTTAATGGACTCCCTCTATGCTATGTAACTTTGAGCTACAGTTATTGTCTGTTTTTTGCCTACTGTTCCAGCAAAGGAGCCAAGGGGTTGATGCTGTCCTTTCTCTATGAAGACAGACCAGGCCCCTCTAATCAGCGGTGACCTGCTAACAAAATGCCAAGCGAGCACATATACATGCATGTTCAGTAACACAAATACAAGCATATACGATCTTCCTGCCTGACAACATCTATGGGTATCAAACACATACAGGCTTTAATGGACTCACCTGGCATTACAGACCAGAATTCAGCACATTTAGTGACAATACACTCTATGTAGTTGCTCTGTAGCAAAACCTAGTCACAAACTGTACTTTTAATCAATGTGATGCATTCACTCTTTGCTTCTCTAACACATATCCTTCCAGTAATGGATTCCATCCGCACTAGTGCCAGAAGCAGAGCAAACAGTACCACCACAGTACAAACAAGTTCAGAGGCTCCAAATGAAAAGCCCCAATGAAACAGTAAAAGATAGGACATACATGCAGTGCAATATCTCACTGCCATTAAAAGCCAATTAGAACATACTTGCTGGCATTGATCCAATGCCAGGAATCAAGATTTCCAACCTAGGTGGAAACCTACTACATTGAACAAGCACAACTCAGCACGTAGGAGTAATTTCTCAAAGATCCCATATCCTAATTTGCTGCCTTCTTTTCCCACCTAAAATTTAGTTTGAACTGTGAATAGCAGTGTGTCTCACACATACAGAGATCCGCTTTTGGTGGAAAGGCTGCATGATGCTCAGCATTTCATCCTGCAAGACCTCTCAGCAGCGTTTCTCTTCTTGTGGAGATCACACCATATTTTTCTAAGACCAAGCCTACAAGAGTAATTGACCAATATTTGCAAATAGAAGACTTTTTCAGCAAGTAGATAGTACTCAAATCCATCAGTATCTAGCAAGTCACTTTCTTCCCCATCACAAATAAACATGCTCTCAGGAAAACACACAGCAGAATTAGGATGGAAGTCTGTTTGCAAGAGATTGATCTGTCACTTCTAAAACCTAAAAAAAAAAAAAAAAAAAAAAGGCAAAACCCATACTGTATCCAAAACATCATTCCTAGAGCGCACACACACACACACACGTCTGCTAAGTGCAATTCATTAGCTACCTACTACTGTGTCAGGCTGCTGCCCACAGAGCAGGAGGAAACAGCAAACACTAGAAAGATCTGTAATGCCAGCCCTGAGCACACGCTCTTAGCAAGAGTAGGAACAGAAGAAATTGAAACATGTACTACCATATGATGCAGCTGAAATAGCTCAGGTCTTCAGACACCATAGGAAAGAATGGCAAACACCAGCAAGAGAAGGCAGACATTAGCAGAGAGTGAATCATACTGTGTGTTTGAGGCTGCTCTAAGGGCCAGTTAAAATATACCGTAAAACTACTGAACCGGAGTTTCTCTAGGCTGCAAATCTCTGTAATATTGCAAAGTCATAGCTGTGTGTCCTCTGCTTCAGAATTACTTAGTCTTGCATGTGTAAGGAAAGCACAGCTCAAGGGACAGTTACACATTAGACTCCAGATAAGTTAAGAGGAATTTCTGGTTGAAAGCAGACAAACTGTACTTTCAAAACAAAAAGCAAACCAAACAAACACAAAGGCTTACCCATAGATTTGAAATTTAAAAAAAAAAAAAGTTTATTCTTAGCCAGGTCCGAGAGGATTTCTTTCCTCTTAAGTACTTTGAAGCCCAGTGACACAAAAAAATACTGCTAGATTTCCCAGACTACAAAAAAGCAGCAGAAAATGTTCAAAACATAAGCTGTGAAGGTCTTGTATTTTAACCTTGTCTCTCAAACACATACTTTGATAGCCATTATTATCTCCTTAGAGCATATGCAACTTCTAAACAATATGAAGTGTTTATCAGTAGGAGGAGTCAGTTGCTGTGGGAAGCTGACATCAAAGGCATACCACTTTCAGAGAGGGAGAAGCAGAGACTGATGCAGCTTAGAAAATGAAAGAAATATCAACTTTGCATGTATGTTTGCAGCACCCAAAATAACTCTGCTCACAGGCTGCGATATTGCTTTCCTCTGATACTCCTTTGTTTCCTTCCCCTTCCCCTCTTGACCAAATCATCAGCAGCCTGGTAAATACATCTGTTCTTCATTTTATCTTATCAGTAATCCGAGCCAAACACTGACCACATCCTCACCTCTCATGGCTTAAGGAGATGTGCACAGGTACCGGCACCATCACTTGGAAACTGTCCTGTTCTCTTTCACGTGCGTGTAAACATACAAGTTGCAGTTCTGCTACTCCAACATGCTTCACTTCGTGCCAGTTTCTCACTGGGAAGGTTCATCATTGACGAGAAGGAACAGAACACAAGTTTTAATCATTCAAATATCAAATTTGGTACTTAACATCTTCGGTTCAGTTTTCCCTCCCTCTCCTCACAGGAGATTTCCCACGACAGACAATTATCCCTTTCAACTGTCAAGTTCCCCTTCTGTCAAACAATCCTGTTAAAAAACCCATGGGAGCAGTACTAGTCTGCTGACTGCAGAGCTACACTCCTTGATGGTGAACGTGGATCTGTCTGACAAAGCTTTGTTTCAAAAAGGCAAAAAGAAAACAAAAAACACTCTGGCACCTGCAGCATAAAACTGTAACCCAAATTTGAACTCTATCAGTACCCTAAACTGTGAAGGAGCAGGTGCTAAAAGCATGATTATTGATGATATACAGTTCTTCCCTTCTGCTTTAAGGGATAAGGCTTAAAGTTTTTGCTGCAGAACTACAGGAGCCTTCTCAAAGCCTATTAAGGCATTTTCTTGAGAGGTGTAACAATAACAGACACAGTGCTTTCTGGCCTGTAAAATCCCTCCCTTCCCTGACCTTGAGAACCACCAGCCTCCAAGAGAAACTGAAATATTTTTATTAGGCCGGCCGCCTGCCTACACACAGTCCCTTTTCAATAAAGCCAACTTGGAAGAATTGCAGGCAGAAGTTCATGTATCACATAACTCTGCTCCACTCTCAGAGGATGTCAGAAGACTACACTGCATTTGTCATAATTCTTGCCACCAGACTTCCAAATTCTCTTCTTTCCTATAGGAATCCTTGCCGCCCTTTCCTGAAAACAGCATCCTAATCAGGCCAACACACATCAGCTATTTGCTGAATGGTAATGAAACACTATCATTCACTAACTTTGACATTATTAATCTACAAATGAGGACTCTTATTACCAGCACAACCACTGAACTTGTAACTTCACCTTTCTATGTTCCTCTTCCTTCCCCTACTCTTTTGCTTTTTTTTTTTTCCATGCTGAGTCTCTTTGTCCTGGAATGTCTGTACCCGTAACTGCTGGACAAAATGGGCCCTCATCTTCGTAAAGGCTTCAAGTAGGCAAAGGACAGAAATCTTCAGCACCAAAATACCACCTGCTTCTTAGGGAACCATCACTGCATTAAGTTCCAAAAAGAAAACCAAGGACTTTGTAAGAGAGGTCCTACTAGTGCACAAATATCACGTAAAGGCAAATACATTTGATGGGATGTCTATGCAGTTACCTCACTGAATTACCTTCTAAAAGGTCCAGGTATACCACAAACGCAGCATATACCTGAGCACTGTCAGATACATCAAGAGACATCATTTCTGTGAACTGAAACCCAAAAAGTAATGTTGGTGAAGGAAAGCAGAAGTCATATTAAGAATACACAGACCAAACACAGAATCTTCACAGCTACCTAAACCACTGAAGTCTGAAAACAGTTTTAAGGACCAACAGGCAATTAAAAAGCAGGACTTGCTTTCTGACAGTATCTTAAGAGCTCTTTTTTCCACATTCCCCCTACTTTGGTGCTTAAGAAAGCAAGCCAAATAAACAAATGAGGAATCACAACTATTTCTGGAACAGATCTAGCTTTGTGAAGAAGGGCTATGAATTTCACCTATTTTTGCTGCAGCACATCAACATAAGATGACGGCCAAATTAAATACCTCCACGGTTTCAGTACACTAAAAACTAAGCTGGAGTGAAAGTTTAAGACACTCGCGTTTCCCAGCCGCGATTTCAGCAGTTACAATCCCGCCCCTGCTCCAAGCGGCGCTCCCCACCAGCCCTCCCCACGGGCCGGCAGACGAGCCCTCCCAGCAGGCCCAATATAACGAAACACACTGTATTAAAATCTCCTCCTCCAGCCCCCCGCCTCGGCGCGGCGGGGGGCGCTCCCCCGGCCCCTCGGTGCACGTGATGACCTACGCGCGCCCCCGCCCCGAGATGG